AAATTTATATCACTCACGGGTAAAAGGCAGCTCATGGGAAAAATAAGTATGGAAATATAAAATAAATCAATACTTTTGATACGGCTGCCTCTAAATATACACAAAATGCTGTGATGCACATCAGCTTTTAAACCTGGAAAAATAATCTCTCGAAAACTACTCCATTCAAATTGTAACGCTTTTAAATGGGGACAATTTAAGCTCCTTGATAGAAAAAACTCGTACTACATTTCACCCGATGAATATATATATATATATTTTTATGAATACAAATTTATACTTTACTTGAAATGCGAAAAAAACATCTTTAGGTACTAATACTATGCAAATAGTGTTTTAAAAGTCGTCTTGAGTCTGTTATTTCGTTTTGTTTTTCTGGTGACAGAGTGGCGACAAGTTATCAGCCTCACATTTTGCATGCACGACATGTACAAAAAACAAATATGACATGCAGAAATTTGTTGAAGGGATGTTAGTTGAAAACTACACATTCTTTAACTGCAACACAAATATTTTAATTTTTAACCACCACTTTAAAACAACATTTACCCCGAAAAATTTCACAGACAAATAAAAGTCAAAAGTCAATTTTGTAACGCGTTTAGAATCTTAATCTAAGGTAACTAAAAATAAATGTTTAACGTTACAAACCATATATTTTTCCAACCTTCTTAACATTTTCAACAAGGTAAAACAAATACAAATGACGCGAGCAGATATATTTTCAATTTAACGTTATTTATTATGCAGCCTGTAAAGTTAACTTTCATATACCTGGGAAATTCGAATTCATAAAATTCCGAAATAATGTAATAGTTTACATAAAGTAATAATGCAATGCAACATTTTTGGAACATTTGTTGAGCATGGAATGTTTTCGACGGAAAAATATATTTGAACATATGTTACTGAGTGTTTATCTATTTTTTTTAATAATTAAAAACCGATTATAAATTTTTCATTACCTCTGTTAAATTCAACATATGTACGTAGAAAACCAAACTGCTAAAACATTTATTCAAATTTCGAGCTTCGAATTCTTTAATAAAGGAAATTTTATTGATTACTTGCGTTCAAGTGATGAGTAAATTTTATAAAAACTTTTTAAATTGCCTGCGGTTTAAAAAGATGCCGATAATTGACAAACTTAGGGAATACTTACTCGTAAAAAATCCAATCATGTTGCACATGTCACTTAAAATTTTAAGTGATAAAATAACTTTTAACGTTAGAAAAGTAAATCAAATGTAAAACACTTTTTTAAAGCGTATTATCTTTCACCGTGTGTAATATTATGAACGGGAAAGCATAAGTCAAACTTAAAAACTCTTAATTTTAGTATTAGTATTAGTATTAAAGCTACATAATTTTGAATATTGGCAAAACAACGTTTTTACCATTCTTTCTTGATATTAACTTCCCGTCCGAGCAGTTTTTAAAAATAGTCAAGATTGAACTACTCTTACCAAATACTGACTTCAAAGAAGATTCAGCCATTTAACTAGTTGTTATTCTGGTAAGATTTAGGGAACAGATATATTTTAATTATTTACATAATACATAAATGACCTATATGGAGGCAAGTTTTTTTATTTATACAATTGTGGACCACCCTAATATTTAGATGACCTCTTATTTTTTCATAGAACCATGCTAGCAAAGCTAAATAAAAAAAATACAATATCATTTACCAAATAAGTTAAAAATTATTTTCGATAGATAGAATTGATTTTTTGTGTTAAATACAGAAAATATATTATTGGGATAATGGATTTTACAGTTTGGGTCTTTGAACAATTTTCCCTTTCTGTGTATTAAATCTTAGGCGGCTTTAGTTTAATCTGGGCGTCTTTAACTATACAGTCAAAGAAATTTGATTTGCTTAACATTTTGGAATGAATTTCAAATATGTCTACCTTGTTGTTCTTATAATTGCAAATGGAAAATTTAGTGAAAACGGCAAAATCCAAATTTATTGAAATATCCGTAGGAAATTTAACATGTTTCATTTAGCGAAAAGAAATTGACGCTCTATTAGATTTTCCAAAGTTGAAATGAAAATCATATTAAATAAATAGGATACTTTAGGGGATATTTTAACAAGTTTCCAAATAAAACGAAATCTCTGATGAGAATTTCCTGAATCGAGAGACATTTGCAAGAATTAGTTCGGGGACTAACTAGAAAACCTTAACCAATACAAACAAACTTCAGGTAATTATGGTATATACGTGCTCTATTCACACTCTTTGGGGACACACAAGAACCAAAAAATAACTTTGATCAAATAACATTTTAATGAAAAATCTTCCACGTTTCAAACTCCCATTTATTGAACATTAACGTCGTCCTTTTGAATTGTTATGAAAGGATTTACATGGTTTATATACTTCTCTATACGTTACCCGCTTAGGCGTTAAGTAGCTGTCCATGGACTTTATCTTAATTAAGTCAATACGCCCTCATCATTCAAAAGCAAATTATTAGCAAACCAGCCGTGTTGATCCAAGAAGGGACAATTAATTTAGTTTCGACTAAACAAATTACCAGGTTTTTTTAGTTTGTTTGTACAACAAACAGTTAATGGTTGCTAATAAACTTCGGTCATACTAAAGTTTTTCCTATCTGCTGAAAACTTTCTTTTCCTTTGCGATCAAATTTTCCGTACCCTCTGTTTAAAAATTAACAATAAAAGTTTTTTCTAATCTGTTTGAAATCATTTTTTAATCATTTTAATTTTATTTTTTACATCGGCCGGTCTACTATAAACTGTACTCTACAAAAAATATATTTTCAGCGTGTCATGTTAAAGTCGTCAATGTGTATTTAAAGGGTCATGGAAACATGTACCATAATGGTTTTTTATTTAGTTGCTGCAGGGAGCAGTAGACACATCTTAAAATGTATAATGGGTTGCATAGTAGACACATGTTAAAATGTATAATGGGTTGCATAGTAGACACATCTTAAAATGTATAATGGGTTGCATACAATACTCGTATTAAATCGGCAGTAAAGATCTACGACAAAAGTCTTTGATAGTTTGTTCAAGTAGATATATTAAGCACCGTCTGTTTCATAATACTGAGATATTGAGTTAAAAAAAACGGGACGGAATACGAAACGTAGATAAAAACGAAATTGGCCTGGATTTGCCGGTGGTAAACGTTCAGACGCATCGCTGGATTCATACAGCAGTTTTCATCCGTGAACACACACACAGATATAACACACATGTGCACGCGTAAAGTGCCGTTTGACATGCACCGACCCTTTAATCCGACAAATTTGCATGTTACCTTAAAAAATGTTTTTTGACGTAGCTCGAGGATCAAATGTCTTTGATAAAAGCTTATGTTAAGCTAGTTATTTATTTTGCCAAATTAAATTTAACTTTTTCATTAAAAAAAATTGCTGTTTGAAATTGATCCATAAATTAAAAACAGCTTCTATATTTAGAAGATAGTTATAATTAAACCTTAACAGAGTTAGGTAGTATATTCCAATTAAATATCCGAAAGTTTTATAGAAAACGCCAACACACATTAATCATGGCTGTCGTCTAACTTCATTTGTCAACTCGCAAAACAATTTAGATTATTTTTGCACGGGAGTGCGAAATATTTGTAAAAAATCTGTCAGTGCTCACCAAAAAAGATCACAAATGAAGAAGAATTAACTTTACTCTTTAATCCTGCGTATTATACGGACAGTCGTATTAATTAATTTTAAAAAAAGATTCAAGTTTAACTTTCATCCCTAGGGAACCCTTTGGGGAAGAAAATTTAAATCCTATTTTCAGTACATAACGCATTACATATTTATAAATATAAAGAAATCCTAGTGATGGAAATTCGACATTGAAGTTTAATTTATATTAAATTTAATTAAAAAATGCCTACCTTGCTTTAAATAGAACTAATATACCTTATTTGCTTAGCATCAGATGAAACTTGCATACTTAGTAGCGAGCCAAAATTCATTATTCGACGTTAAATGTTTAATATGGGTGGTTTAATTTAAAACGAAATGCTACACAATAAATATATGTTATGAAAGTTTTTTTTTAATCCCTATATTAAATATAAATTTTATGTCATACTTTTGACTTTTAAATAAACTCATATTTAGAAGCCATTTCTATAAATAAAAACCAGATAGATATTTATTGGGTAAAGTGGCAAAAACAATAAAATTTCTACTGTGGCATATGACTTGAAAGGAATATAAAATGATTCAGAAAAATTGTATTTATCTCAAACAACTTCAATCTATATGCATCAAGAAAGGACAATTTTTATGAAACTGAATTTATTAAAATAAAAGTATTTATCTCCACGCGGTCTATAATTTAAACTTTGTCAACATTCGATAAAGAAATACCTTGTTATGGCCTAGACCGATACAAATTTTTATGAGGCAAGTAATTATAATTCGACTATAGTTCGACTTTTTCTCGCTAGGGGTATTGTTTTGACAAATTAATACTTTTCTAAGAAATTAACGTACTAAACTGGTTTAATTTATTTAAAATAAGCACTAATTTGTTTGTTTTAATGTTAATGTTTAATATTTTTCATTAAATTATTGTAAAATTAAATATGAATAATAAAACAAAAAGTGAGGTTAGGCAACCAAGAAAACGCACGATTCTTTTTCTACGATTTAAATTATCTTTAAGTTTTAATTTGCTTTAAGTTTTCAGTGAAATTAAATGTTAAACACAGCTTAAACATTCCAAACTACCTATTTTTTAAATAAAAATCTAAACAAATTGAAATTAGATACCTACCTATTTATTAAACCATTAATTGAATTCAATGTAATAGCAAAAATCCATTTCTACTTAAATCATGTTGCTAGGTATTGTCAAACTATTACTGCTTCTAAAAGCAATAATAATTATTGTACATTTAATGTAATCTTGAGCTTAGCACAAAAAGCCTTACTTTTTAACCTAATGACATAAATAACTATTTAATAAATAAAAAACAGTAATTTTATTAAAGAGGTTTATTTTTTTATTTAATTTTTGCTCTTAATTAGGACTAAACATTAATTTCGTGTTCCTGTATCATTGGGAACATTGTTGGGGGAGCTCCATTTGGATCTTTCTGGTTTCGGTTTTGGATCCAAAGTCGGGGCTGGCGCCATTTTTGATTTGGCTCTTCCACAAGTTGGCAACATTGGATTGCTTGATGCAGTGGACGGCTACGTTCTTGGTGATGGTGCCGCGTTGTTGGCATTGGCAAACAGGCATCGGGCGGATGGTGAAGCAGATTTCGCCGTTTTGTTCGACGTAGCGGGTTTGGTATTTGGTGCACATGTCACCGGAGTGTTGGTGTTGGTTTTGGCGTTCTTGGCCATATCCGCGATCTTGCTTGGAAACGACGTTGGCGTACAAAACTTCTTGTCTGTAGCATTGTTGGCGTTGTTGTTTTTGGGGTTGTTCGGCGTTCCAGCTTTGGATGAACTCGCGTTCTCCTCTCACAATGCAGTTTTCAGGGGTTTGGAATTCCGTGGATTTTTGTCCGTTCCATTGTCCGCAAAGACCGCGGATTTGATCGCGGAATTGTCCATTTTGAAGGGTGAGTTTGACGCGTTCTCCATCGTAGATGGCGTAGAATTTACCGCGTACTTCAACCTTGACTTCTCCGTTGGGCAAAGCGTAGATTTGGACCAAATCTCCTTGGATGTCGTGGCTTTGTTGACTGTTTACTTGGACTTGCTGTTGTCCAACGAACACTTTAGCCTTGGGCTTGACGTCGGATAGTTGACCGGATTGAGCTGGTTGCATGGTGATTTCCAAAGTTTTGCCTTGGGTTCTTGGTTCGTTGAAGGTAATTTTGACGTCCTTTTGTTTTGGGTTCTCTTTGTTTTGGCGAACCATAACGAGGTAGTTTTCAAGTTGGCGTTTCAATTGTTCTTGTCCGTTTACGGATTGTTGTTCTTGGCGGGCCTTTTCGGGAACGTATTGCATCATGACAGTCCATTGATTTGGAAGAGATCTGATGGAGTATGTTCTGTTGGAGTAAGTGTTGGCTTCAGTATGATCAACAACGCAGTTAGCTGTAATTAACAAAACAAAATTAATATGTGTAATAACAACTATAAGAAACTAAAAACTTACGTCTGTAGTTTTGGTAGCCAAGCATTTTTCCTGCAAGGCGAGATTTAACGTGGAAGACTGGGTGGGCAACGAAGACATTGGCGAACCATTCGTTGACGTTAACGTTTTTCAAGGTGATTTCTTCTTGTCCATCTTGAACAGTTACGTTGATGGCTCTAAGGTTTGGAGCAAAACGGGCTTTAACGTAGATTTGTTTGTCTTGTTGTTGGCTTTCTTGGATTTCGACGTAAGGAAGTACGGTCATTTGGTAGCGAAGAGCGTTGTATACGTGTTGAATTGCTCTGGTGGATTCAGGTTTCATGTTTTCATGTTGGATTTTAACACGGATGTCGTCCAATTGGTTGGCTCTGATGGTCATGTTAGCGCAGGCTGGAAGTTGGCGGTTACCTTCTTGCATTTGACGTTTGCATTCGTGGTACATGGGTTCTTCGAGCAAGTATTGTTTGCGGGATTCGCTTCTGCGGAGTTCGATTTCAGCATTGATTTTGGAAGCGGATTGCTGAAGGTTTTCACCGAAAGCAATTTTAACTTGGGTGTTGATTTGGGGTTGGACCTTTAGGGATTCGGTCAAGTCGAGTCCGTTGGTGTTGGGGATTTGGCTTTTGCCACTGATGGCAAGTTGGAATGGTTTCATTTGGTTTTCAGATTTGACGAGAACCAAGAAACGGGATTTAGGATCGACGTTACTTTTGGCGATGGCACCTGTAAGGGTGTATTTTAAGGTTTGTTGTCCTTGAAATTCGATTTGACCATCAACGACTCTAGTGTGCACGCTCTTGATTCCAGCGGATACCATCTTGATAAAATCTTGTTGGCGAGCGTCAGATTCTAAGCTGGTTTGGGCAAGTTGAGACAAATCGTCGCTACTTTCGTCAGATCCTTGAGTTTTGTAATCTTGTTGGTATCCCAATTTGATTGCGACCTTGCGGGTGGTGGATTCTTGGGGCAAGTAGAAGACATTCAATTGGCTACGTTCGATGGCACCGAATTTAACGAATTGCAAAAGGGCCAGAGGATCTTGACTTTCCATGAGCTTGGTAAGCCACCAGAGGTTGTTTCTTCTTTGTTCGTGTTCGCATTCAACGCGAAGAGCCATGCCCATTTCCTTCTTTCCGAAAACGTGTTCTAAACCTTGGTTCAATTTTTGAGAGATGACTTGAGTGCTTTGTCTGGCGAGGAAAGGTTCGGCTTTAAGCAAATCAGCTTTGGTGGTGTATGGTACAGTGCTGTAGTGCAAAACCTGTTGTTTGCCTTGTTGTTCATACATTGGTTCTAATTCGGCATGTACTTGCATTTTCTTGACATCAACGTCGATCTTGGCACGAAGTGGGACATGAGTAAAGAAGACCTTGTCGTATCCAGCTACGTATTGTTGGTGTTCGAATGGAGCAATGAAGGAAATGTGTCCTTGTACTTTACCGTGGAGGGTAGCCTTAATATCGGATTTGATGGATACGGTTTCAGGAATTTGGAATTTGCCTTGGTTGGTGAATTCTGGTTTAATTTGAGCCTCGATTTTACCGTGGAAGTGGCTGAGAACAGGGGTGTTGTAGGTGTATACGAATGGGATGCCCATTTCGGTGGGGAAAGCCATGGTGAATTCTCCAGCATCCATGAATTTCATGTAGTGGAATTGTTTTCCTTGTTTTAATCCTTGTTCGAGTACGCTGATTATTTCTGGCAATCTTTCGATAGTGCGGTTGTCGAAAGACAAGAGTGGGTGAATGTTGGCCAATTCAATGTTCAAAGAACCTTCCAATTGGTCTTTTTCGTCCATTTTCATGTTTAACATACCAGCAATTTTTTGGCTGCTCCATTGGTGTTCGGTGGTTTGGCTTTGTTCTCTAGCTTGTTGGTAGTGTTGAGTTTGCTTCATCAAAACGTTGGTAAGTTCATCGATGCTGGATACCATGTATTGTAAGTTAACCAATTGGCGGTGTAATCCGGCAAGGGAGGAACGAAGGGAGTATTTAACAGATTTTGGGATAAAAGATCCTTGTCCAACAATGGATTGTACGACTTGTTTGTAATCTACTTTGATTTCATCGAGAACGTAGCTGCGAAGGAAGTTTTGCGATTGACGCAAGCCATAGTATTTCTTGGTGAGATGGGGTTGAGCAGCTCTGGCAGAGGAACGCCTAAAAGTCATATTATATAGTTACATTTATGTTGGAAAATTGCTTAAAAGTGACTTACAAGTTTCTGTATTGTTCTCCTTTAAGTTGAGCGGCGGTTTCGATGGAGGATTTGACAGCAGCGTTAACATCGTCGTGTTCATCGAAGTGGGTAGCTTCGGCCATGCGTTGGAGCATGTCAGTTGGTGGGGTGGTTCTTATCAATTGGAAAACCGCGGCCACTCTGACTTCTTGGGATTCCCCGGCGTTTTGGTAGATTTTGTAGAGAACGGAGCGGGCCAATTCGGGGTGTCCGTTGGTAAGTTTGTCCAAAGATACGACCATCATCAAACGTTGGAATTGGGAGCATTGTTTTTGTCCTTCCAAGTAAGGTTCGAATACGGAGAGGATTTCTCTGTCAGCAATGTTACCCAAACTACGAATGTACATGTGGATTTGTTCAGTTTTGGATTGAGAAATGGCTTGTTCCAATTGTTGACGGAAGTATGGGATGATGGTTTGTCTCATCAAAGTTTTGCCTTCGTGGTTGTAGAATCTTCCATAGACGTGGACGGGGAAAGCATTGTGGGATTCGCGCTTTTCGACGTAAACATTACGCAAGAGGGTACCAAAAGAAAGATGGGCAGATTTTCTTAACCATTGACTTTGGGATTGGATTTTTTCGGATTTGATCAATTCGAAGAATTTGCGGATGTATTCAACGGTGGGTTCGCGGACAGCGCGGGCCATGGTGCTGATGACAATGGCAGCTTCTTGGGATTGGATTTTGTCGGTTTGGATCCATTGTTCGATGGTAAGAAAAGCTGGGCCAGTTCCGGCTTGAGCGACGGCGTCACGGAAAGCGATCCAAGCGGCGTACTTTTCACCGTGTTGTTCTTGGCTGTACAATTTTTGGGAAACCTTTTGAAGTTCATCGGCGTTCATGATGCGAACAAGTTGGGTCAAAATGGTGAATTTGTCCAAGACAAATTTTTTCAAGATGGTTTCAGGTTGTTGAACGTACTTGCCAATTTCTTGGGAAAGTTTTTCCACCTTTTCGACTACGTTAAATCCTTGTTCGGTTTTGACCGATTGGCCTTTGTATCCAATGGAGAAAGGCAAAAATGGAGTTTGTGGGGCTTTGTCCATTTTTGGTTGTTCTTGTTGTTGTTGTTCGTTCCAGTAACGTTCCATGTATCTTTCTTGGCTTTGGTATTGTTCTGCGGATCTTAAATTAAATTCTTCGACAGAACGACGGAACAATCTTGGATGAGCAACGTACATTTCTTCGCCGGAACCTTGCATTCCTTCGTTGGTTTGTCCTCTGTATTCGCCACGAACTTGGTTAGTGGAGTATGGTTTGTTGAATCTGTAGACGAGATCGCCCAAGCTGATTGGTTGAGAAATTTCTTGTGGTTTTTCGCTTTGTGCGCGAACTTCGTGGAGGGTTACGTTAAGGATGCTTACAACGGAACCTTTTTTGTCATCGTTCAAAGTGGGGCTCATCATGATCTTGTTGACGGTGTAAGAGTTTTGTACGGTGAAACGTTTAAGGGTTCCGGTAACAACAGCGCGGCTGTTGGAGGTTCTGGTGAAAAATTCTCCCATTTGATTGGTGGTAGGTTCCCATTGGCTCATGCCAGACAAGCCGTGGTAAAAGGAAGGTCTTTGTTTGCTGTTGGTGAAGTTCTTGTTCTTGACAATTTCAATAACCTCTCCTTCTCCTCTCAATTCGTGCTTTGGAGCCAACCATGGTTTGCTTTGGAGAACGTATTCGGGAAGAGCGTGGATGTCGTATAAGGTTTCAGTTTGTCCGTTGATGGTATCTTCCATGGTCTTAAAGACGGCATTGTTTTGTTGACCTTCTGGAAGAGCGTTGACGTGGCTTGGGATCAGGTTTTTAGCGTTGGTATCCAATTGGAATTGGCTGACAATGCTTCTGATAATGTTGGCTTCCCAGTTGGAGACATCCTTGTTGACAACTACGTCTCTGATGACGCCTTGTTCCATCACAACTTCGAAGTATTTATCAGTCAATGGCAAATGTTTGTAACCGACTTGAGAGTCTGGAATGTGAGTGTTCCAGCCATCGGCCAATTCGGTGTGGATTTGTCCATATTGAGGTTCGGAAATCTTGGCGTACAATTTACCGTTGGATTGGGGAATGATGGTAAGTTTGGCCTTCAGGAGAATCCCTGTGTATTGGTTGGAAACTTCATTGAGGCTGGCTACAGTGCGACCGCGAACGATGTAACTGTATTCGGTGTTGTCTTTCCAGGCTGGGTTGGCGTTGTTTGCGAAAGCAAAGCCGACTGAAAATAAATATAAAGATGATGTCGAAAAATATTATTTATAAATTAATAACAAACATCCATAAAATTGAAAACAATTAATAGACCTATTAAAACATTAAAAACAAAAACTTACCCAGGCAGCAGAGTAATAATTGTGACCACATCTTCTTCTCGTTAATATTGGAACGGTCGGAGAAGTGTGAAAAACAATTTATCGATTCGAGTATTTATACAAAATTTAAAGTGATAACGTTAATGCATTTATCAATTAAACGCATAGAAACTCGCGTAAAACTGCTGAGTAGAATTTTTCATTCATCAGCAAGAAAAAGATAAACCCAATTAATATTGTTTCTAAAAATGTACACGCGATTTAAGTCGATGATGATATTTTTATTTTAACGACTAAATAATTAAATGTTTTTTGTATTTAAAATGTACATTTCTTATTATAAACCAAACTTGATACTTATGTATATAAAATAGTATTAAAAACAAATCTATGATATAACACAATTAATTTTTGTATAGAATAAAATTGTATTGTTAAAGTAACCGATTTATTTGTTGCTATTATTGGATACTTATGGAGAGGGGTAGAAAAACAAAATGGCTTAGTGTAATATAAGTTTGAGACGTAAAAATAGAAAAGTGAGTATGCCGATTTAAAAGGGATAGAAAAGGCTCGACCTAGTTTATCTTGAATGTTTCTAGGGTGATTTCTCTGACCAAAAGTCCATTTCAAAACGGATAGAATTTGTTTCCCTTCACGAATTTTTAGCATAAAATAAAATATCCAACTTTTAAATTTATAAAATACCCTTTTTACCAGATTTATCTTATTAATTCTGCAACAAAATGTAGTAATTTTTTTTGTTTCGCAACAAATATGTCTTTGTTTATTGATTTATAATATGTTGAAGATAAAATGACATTTTTGTGTAAAGCGTCTTATATAAAGCCAAGGTATTTATAGCTGACACTTTTATAATGATTGATTTAGAAAAATTCTGTTATATCGCTAAAGTTTATATACGTAACAGGATTTTTTTGTTTTTTAATCATTCATTTTTTTTATTAGAATAAAAAATAATGGATTCAATTAAAAAACATGTATCTAATTAAAATTAAAGCTGAAACAACGGCTTAAAACATAAACAACGAAAGCTAGACAATGAACAATTCCTTGGAAGATTGTAATTTAAAAGTAATACTTAAAACGTTTTCTGTTTTTGGAGGATAGAATTGTTGATATCCTTTTGCCTTTCTATAGTAACCGCCTTTTTCTTGTATCCCAGTCTCACTCAATTCTTATTATCTTACAGAAATGCCTTTTAAATTTGCGAAATTAGACCGATCTCCTTCACAGAACTTAATTGCAATAAACAGGAAGAATTCCCATTACAATAAGATAATGGCAGTATTTTATTTTATTAAAATTCCCTTTTTTAATTCTACCACACAGACACATTCTTATGAAGGATAAATGTAGTTCTTCGGTCCTTTGAATCGAACGAAATGCCCGCATTCCTCTTTACTCCATTCACCACATTGAAGCCAAGAAACGTTTTAGACTTTTTACCTGAAATCCATTTCGAACTTAAATTATAAGAACCTTAAATTTTGCCGAGCAAATTAAAATTTAAAATTTATTTCAAACCCTTAATGCTGTACATGCAAAATTATAATTGTATAGGTATCAAGTTTGATAAACGAATTTTAATTAGGCACGAAAAAGCTTCCGAGCGAGTGTCTAGAAAAATTTATAAACGAGTTTCTACGATTAATACTTATTATTATCTAAAAATGATTTAAATTAAATATTTGCATAGAGCGACATCTATCTTGTGGCGTTATGGCTTTTTAGTCACCTTGAAGTTGAATGGTTACTATCATTCAACTTCAAGGTGACTAAAAACCTGTTGCCAACTTCAGCCCGTGACTAAAAAGCCATAAAGCCACAACTTGTCAATGCGTAATTAAAAAAAACACTTGGTGTCATGGAAACATGTTTTCTGTTGCGGGTTAAGTGTTCTAAAATGAAGTTTTTTAGCTGCGAATATTTTAACGAAATGTCCGAAAAACATTGTTAATCTTCTTACTGAAAAATCATGGGAAATTTATATTTTCTGTCACTGGATTTAGATGAGATGTGTGCGGTAAAAAATGCATGCATGGGATTTATGCTAAACCCTTGGCCGTTTCGTAAAACAAAATCATATAATAAAGGGACGAAATTTGGTGTTTTATTCGGCGTGGAGGAAGACATATGGGTATTTATGCTACACACAGAAAAATGTGGTAAAATGATAGCTTTGCCGTCAAGACAAAAGTGAAAACCCTAAAACCCAAAGCCCAATGATTGATTTTATTAGAGCGAAACTTAATTGAGCGTGAATACACGCCGGAAAAGAAGGTTAAGAACGAAAGTTCAACAAAAGGAACATAATAAAAGTACAGGTAAATAATAGTAGATTCAAGTCTTAGAAGATGAAAACTCCACATAACAGTTTAATGAAACTTAATATTATAACTTCTTGCCGATAAAGAAGTACAAATCGATTTGTTAATAAGATGATAAATAAGGCAGCGTGGAAGGGGCATTTTTTTGGCGTAATGTCCGACGTAAGTTAAAAGAGAGAATTAGGATCGTGTAATTTAGGGGCGGCCGTAAAATGCCCGCTAACTAAGAGAAAGTCAGGCCTTTATGAGGTTACACTGAGTGCAAGGATTAGCCGGAGATGTAATGGTTCCCCTGATTCAGTTTACGTTTTCCCCAGGCCAATTTTCACTTTTAGAGAATACTTCGCTGCGACCACCTTAATAGAAAACCCTTAATTATGCATTCAATTTATTCAAAACTTCAATAAACCGCTCTCATTTACATTTTTGACAAAGTTTCATTCACATTCGTTAAGCCCTCTTCTTACATCTTAAACGAATAACATTTTTATTTTGTCACATTCATTAAATACAGTTTTCTTTGCCACCCTGTGAAAATTTATAGCCGCATAGAGAAGCGATTTCCTGGCTTACAATCCTGCAAACTGTTTACTAAAATGATTTTATTTGTTTTTAAAAAGAAAATTTTGAATATTGCCTCCACCTCAAACGGAATACAGCTCCCAATGGGCGAAAACAATTTGCAAACATCCGACTTTTATCGGTAAAGAAAAGTTTCTCATTTTTTCTTATTTTATTTTTATCGAGTTGTTTTTTCTTTATTTGATCGATACTTAAAGTGGTAATAAACTCATAAATCGTGCGCTGATTTGTTGAGGATGGGTTGTAAAATGATCCCGAAACTTTCCGATATTAATTACTGAATGGAAGCTTGAATGTTTAAAACTGGGTTGAATTACGTTCGTGACTTATAGACGAAAGGAAAGACGTAAAAACTTGTAACAATCTCATTCAGGACTATGTCCAAATTGACCTATCAAATATGAATAATAATAGAAGTTAGGAAACAAAAGTTATATTAAAGAACTTTCACGTTTGCAGTAACATTTATTTTAAGCGAATTACTCTTCCCAGTCATAAATTTCGGAATATTAAAGTGCCATTTTAATGTTTAAATTTTATAATTATGGTATTATTATAATTATTTATTAGTAGGTTTAATATATACAGTATTTTCCAGTATAAAGTTTATAATAGGAAAAACTATTTGTATTCTTTATAAGTTACATTTTTATTATAATAATAGCCAGAAGCTAAAATGGCAATCTGACAATCTTAAATAACCCCAAACTAAGCAAGCTTAAATGTTGACAAGCTAAAACGCCGACAAACTAAAATGACGACGAGCTAAAATATCGATAAGCTAAAATAAGCACAAAGTAAAATAACTAAAACACAAGCTAAAAATTATGACAAGCTTAATACATGCACAAAGTAAAATAACTAGACAAGCTAAAATTATGACAAGGTAAATACAACATACTAAAATGATGACAAGTTAAATTAACAAAAAACTAAAAAAAAACAAGCTAAAATGACGACAAGCTTAAATAAGGTTAAGCTAAAATGCCGACAAGGTAAAATAACCACAAAGTAAAATAACTAATTAACAAGCTAAAATGATGACAAGGTATACTGACAAGCTTAAATAACAACAAGCTAAAATAACGATAAGCCAAATAACAAAAAGCTAAAATAACAACCTTTCTAGATAATACAACCACAAAGTAACGAAACAAGCTAAAATGATGATAAGGTAAAAACGCTAAACTAAAATGATGACAAGGTAAATTAACAAAAAGCTAAAATGGCGACAAATTAAAAAAAAGCTAAAATAATAACGTGCTAAAATAACAACAAGCTAAAATGCCGACAAGCTAAATGCAAAAAAGCTAAAATGAGGACAAACTAAAAGAATGATAAGCTAAAATAACTAAGCAACAAGCTAAAATTACAACCAGCTCAAATGATCACAAGCTAAAATAACGACCAGCTAACATGACGAAAACCTAAATAAAACAACAAGCTAAGATGATGACGAGCTAAAATAACGACAGCTAAAATAACAAATAATAACCACAACAAGCTAGATAACAACCACAAAGTAAAATAACTGAAAAACAAGCTAAATAACAGCAGATAAATTAAAAACCTTTGTAGATAAAAAACAATAAACTAAAATGATGACAAGGTAAATTAACAAAAAGCTAAAATGGCGACAAACTAAAACATTAACGTGCTAAAATAACAAGCTAAAATGACGACAAGCTAAATAACAACTAGCTAAAATGAGGACAAACTAAAATAATGATACGCTAAAATAACTAAGCAACAAGTTAAAATAACGACAAGCTAAAATAATAACCAGCCAAAATGAGGACATGCTAAAATAACGACAAGCTTAAATAACAACCAGCTAAAATGACCACAAGCTAAAATGATGATGAGCTAAAATAACGACAGCTAAAATAACAAATAACAACCACAACAAGCTAGATAACAATCACAAAGTAAAATAACTGAAAAACAAGCTAAATAACAAAAGATAAATTAAAAACCTTTGTAGATAAAAAACAATAAACTAAAATGATGACAAGGTAAATTAACAAAAAGCTAAAATGGCGACAAACTAAAATATTAACGTGCTAAAATAACAAGCCAAAATGACGACAAGCTAAATAACAACTAGCTAAAATGAGGACAAACTAAAATAATGATACGCTAAAATAACTAAGCAACAAGTTAAAAT